TCAGCAGCCGCTCCTACCTGCCCGAGAAGCTGCAGATCGTGAAGCCCCTGGAAGGTGACCGCACAGGGCCACGGCCCCTCTCTGTCCTCCTCAGCGACTCCCTGTGGGCCCTGATCCACCTGCGCCACGCGGGCCACCTCTGTAACGCCTACTCCTTCTTCTTCCGAGACAGCCACCCGCGCTGCTGGTTCGAGTTCAACTGAGCGCTCAGCAGCAGCCTCAGCCAGGCCCGTGTCCCTGTCCCCAGAGCCCGCAGAGACCCCACCCAAGGGCAGGAGAGGACGCCTTCTAGTTCTTTTAGCTTTAGGACTTAGCGAAAACCTAGAGAGGCAGAAGCCTGCCTGCAGACCCAGAAAATAACTAGGTCATGCCTGGGGGCTCTGACAAGTGTAGAGAGAAATACTTTGGCTTCTCAAATTTCCAGAAGTGTCAAGGAGCTGGGGCAAGTGGAAGTTTGCGTTTTTGCTTTTTTTTTTGTCCCAGTAACCACCTAAAAGTGACTTGTGGCCTCACGTGCAGAGTTATCTTCATAGAAAGTTTGTTGCTTTTTGCAGATGCAGCGAGTCCTGAACAAGGCTCCTAAAGTCTGCAGTTTGGGAGGGGGTTGCTGTGTAGGCAAGTGAGTTCTGTAACCTCCTTCAGCCACCTTTTCCAGGGGCCGTTTACTTGTTAATATCATGAGCTCTTTAGATGATTAAATTGAAGAAAAACTCACCCTTTTTCTTTTTTGGCTTTAAGCATTTTTAAGCTGCTTTCCCTCCACCTCCTACTCCCTGGCCAAGAACCAAGTCTTTGTATTTTTTTTTCTCCTCTCTTACTCTTTTGGGTCTGAAACTCATGTGAGTTTGAGACGTTCTAGAATATTCTGTATTACATTTCTGAGGTTAAGCCACATCACAGTTTCTATAAGGTGGTATTTCCCAACTTTTATTATTTTTTTTTTCCCCTAATGGTACCTCCCTCATGAGATCTTAATACCAAAGACTCCCTGTTTATGCACCCTGTGTGCGTCTGTGCTAAAAGAAGTAGTTATTTTCGCTCTAAGAGTTTTTTGCCTCTTGGGTGCCACCGTGCCCTGTTGAGAACGCATGCTTGTCAGGTGAGGTCGTGCTTGTTAAAGATCCAAGACTTTTCAGGGTCCCTATTTTCCAAAGGAAGGAAGAGGGTGGGCTACCATTCTGCTTTCCTGATTCATTTTTCATTGTAAATTTAGGCCTTTCCTAGCTTTCAGTAAAGGGGTGGGTCACTTTTTTCATTGTTCGTTCAGTTGTAAGCTTGGCGATTGTTTTTTGATCCACGTTATGTCTGTTTTCTTTCAATAAAATCTTCCATTTCTGCAATTTTACTTTCTGCCTTTATTTTATTTTATTTTTTTTTCTCTTTTGTCTCTCAAAGATCATTGGAATTTATCATCTCTATCTTGTCTGCTTTCTGAATTTGATTCTGTGTTTCATTAGATCATCTAAAAATTTGGGGGGGATTTATTTTCAAAACACATCATAGAAAGACTTTTTTAAAAAGATTTATTTGGCCAGTTCATCTTTCTTTCTTCCTTTCTTTCTTTTTTATTTAAAGAGGTTTTTGCTATAGGACATGTGTGCTCTCCAGAAAGATAGAGACAGAGAGATAGAAAGAGAGAAATCACCCCCCCCCAGGGGGGATGGCCACACCGCAATCCCTTCTCCTCCATTCTCCTCTCGGGATCTTGAGCACGCACGCACACGCGCCTGGCATGAGTTTAAGCCACTGAGTCCAGAACTCAAACTATGGTCAACTACATAGGAGTCCAGTGACCTAGCCATTATGCCAACTGCTGGTCCCATCTTTATTTTAACCTTGTAACTTAGTATTTTTGTGATTAGTTAATAGAATAAGAAGAAATCCCATTGGATTTGCAAGATGACTTTCATCTATAATACTCAGGTCCCAGGAAGCTAAAGTATAAAAAAATCTTTCAATAACAAGTTTTATTCAACTTTTTATATAAAACTATAAAAACCATACTATATAAAAAACCTTTATAATAAATTGAAAAGTTCTAGCTTACCACCGTGGCCTACATTCTCATATAGGTCCTTTTGGCTCCATTTTGTAATTCTTCGATTTCTTAGCTATTTAAAATACAACCAATATTTTTTTTCTTCCTTCTGTCCATAATTTTTTTGTGTGTGTTAACTGTGTTTAATTTGTTAAGGTGGGAGACTGACACGGAAGTCTACCTAACTGCAGGTTCAGGGCAGCTCTACCCGTGGCACTGGATAAATGACCACACCTTTTAAGCCTTGTTTCACTTAACCATGAAAGAGGCTCATGGCTGTCCACCAAGATTACGGTGAGGAAGAGGAGTCAATGTCGTGTGTTTTATATTGTGCCTGCCACCTACTAGTTGCTCATTAAAACCTAGGCTCCCCAGACATGCCCCTGTTCCAGCAGCTTAGGCATGGAGGACTATGGAACTCCAGCATCGTGCTGGGCTGGCATGATGCTCTTCTGTCATCCTTTTGCATTCGTCTCTGCGAAGCTGATAGGATCCCCTGATCTCCAGCAGCCCAGGGAAATGTACCTGGGGTAAGGCCCCTGGAGAATGTTGGCTGGTGTCATAGCAGACAGCCAATCTGTGTCTCCATCTGGGTCTCCCTTACCTAGCTCATTAACCTTGCCATTTGCTTATTGGTGTTAGCCCAGATAGCTAGCTGGGTGTTTAATAACGCTAGCACTCTTATCTCTTTCCTCTTCCCCTAAGAGTTTTAAGCAGGTAAAGAGCAAACAAAACATTCAACCTAGAAAGAGAGATCTGAGGAAAAGACTGAGGCAGGCAATCTTTCTCTTCCTGTATTTTGCTGCTCCTTTCTGATTCGTGATAGCCAAGGTAGTGTTTCCAAATACATAAGTGAACGTGTAATTAGTGCAAACCATAGACTTCTACACTTGACATTATCCAAGAGGTTTCCTTTCATCTTTGAAACCCCAGAGGTTCCTCTGACATAAGTAGATTGGATTTTCTTTTTCCTTGATGACACGGATACTTATCAGCTGGAATAGTGTGGAAGGTGTGGAAGGGAAGCAGACAGGGATGGGGCAATGATGGTACTTCCATTTCTCCCACTGTCTGCATTCTTGTTCCATAGAACTTTTGTCTTGGTGCCAACCGGGAACATGAAGCTTCCTATCTTTCCTTGCTCCATTACTTGACCCCAGCCTCATTTTCACATAGGTGGGAGGAGCGGGCAGGTCTTAGGTTGAATTGGTTATGGAGTTAGCTAACACTACAGCGATTCACCTGCTATGCATTTTACAAGTTAAAGAGGCCAGGTCAGCAAGTGAGCTGGGGAAATGAATAGGAAGGAGGCAATAGGGCCCTGATTAAGATGCGACTCATAATTTGAATGCTCTTGTGTATGAAAGGGGGGAAGGGCTTCAGGCACCCAGGAAGTCAGTGGAACTCCTCCATGGTGGTTCAGGAATGGGCGTGGTGGGGGAGAAGTTTGAGGTGTTCTGTCCAGGCTCTGGGCTTGGCACACCCCCTCGGGGCCTTGGTACTAGCTGGGAGTGGAGATGAACCATGAGCCCAGTAGCATAACTGAATCACATAGTGGGTCTGAAGTAGCTTTCACCGGGATTTACTTTTTTAATTTCCAGAGGTCACATGCACTTACTAATGGGAAATGAGGCAGAGAAAGAGAGAGAGAGAGAGAGAGAGAGAGAGAGAGAAAGCACTCCCCCATGGGGTGTGGTCATGCCACAACCCTCCTTCCATTTCTGTATCCTGTTAGGATTTTAGGCACGCATGCACACACACCCAGTGTGTTTCCAGGCCACTGGGGCCGGCCGGGTTTCAAACCATGGTCAACGTTGTGGGATCTGGCTCCTTCAGCCACTAGGCTTCATGGCTGATCCAATATTCACATCTGTAGAGTAGAAATCACCTATGTGGGGATTAGAAAAGCCATTCAGGTGGTCATTGACTAGATTACTGAGACTCCCGTATGTGGGGCCTTGTCACTACTTAGTGGCAGTTTATAGAGTTAAGTAAGTAGATACTGGCCTGATTTTAGTCCCAGATCAGCTAGCCAGCTGCTTACCTTCTGGACTCAGTTTCCTCATCTGTAAAATGGAGACAGCAGGGTTATGAAGATGAGCAGTGGTGATGGTCGTTGTGTTTAAATGATAGAGGTAGACCTGTGTAAATATGCAGGCTATAATGTAGACCTCTCAGAAGAGTGCCTGACACTTGGGATGTGCCCAGGAACGGTCAGCTCCTCTTTATTTTATTTTATTTTTTAGAGAGATTTTTGCCTTCGGTCATGTACGCTCACTGGGGAGAGAGGGAGAGACAAGAGACAGTGAGAAATCACCACTACCTTCCCCGACCCCCGGGGCTGGGGGAGAGGGCCATGCTGCAGTTCCGTCTGCTCTATTCTCCTCCTAGGATCTTGTAGGAGCCCAACGATGTAACTGCTACACCATCCGCTGGCCCCCCGACCAGCTGTTCTTGTATGAGTCGGGATGCCCAGGACTTGGGGTAAAAATCCGAGTTTGATGCATCTTTCTGCATCATCTTGCGCTTGTAATTGGGCTCAATGTCCTTGGCTCAGTTTCAGGAATGCAGACAGGTCCACGCATTCCCACATCCTTCACTCCAAACAGCCGCGCTTGGGGAGCCTCATTTCTCCCTCAGGCCCATTTAAGGCACTAGGAAGGAGAGGTTTATTGAACAGATGGAGGATCCAGGCCTACGGGGCTCTTGCAGGGCCCAGACCTCCAGGCTCCCTGGTTCTTTCCTTGTGGATTAAAAGCATCTTGAACCCCCTTGAAAAGGATGGGGTTTGGCATTTCCTTGCCCTGGTTCTTCACTTCCCAGCACCTCTTGGCTCCCCTAATCTTCTCCTTCCATTACGCTAACTGCTGGTCCCCCTAATCTTCTCCTTCCTAAAGTCAGAGACGTGCCCATGTGTGCCCAGGCTCTGTGATGCAGTCCCAAGCTGGAGGTGACAATGGCTTACGACTTCTCCCTGGTGCTATTCTGATGCCAGAATGTGCCTGTGTAGCCAGTGAGCATGTCCACGGTGCCCCGTATGCAGTATGAATGGGGTTCCCAGGGTGGCAGAGAAATCCCATCAGTGGGACTGTGTGTGTCCCCTGGCAGGCTCTGGGCACTGGCCTGAAGGTTTTCCTGGTGACTATTTATGTGGTCCATGCAGCGGGTTCCTGGCTGGAGCACTGTGCCCTGGCCTGTTCTTAGACCTGTGGATTGCACAGGGAGATTGTACAATGGTCAGGAAAACCTGGCCTTTCCCTCCAAACCCCAGCTATGCCACTAGGAATTAAGTGCCTCTCGGCAGTTCCCTGACTATTAGGGTGCCTCTGTGTCCCGAATATAAAGTGTGGATAATGCTGCTGCTACTCTTTCATTTATTTATGTTTTTAAGAGAGATTTTTGTTATAGGATGTTTGCACTTGCCAGAGACACAGAGAGAGAGTGAAAAATCACCTCCAGGGAGGATGGCCATGCCACGGTCCCTTTTCCCTTCTCCTCTCGAGATTCTGGACACGCACACACATGTGCCTGGCATGAGTCTCAAGCCGCTGAGTCCAGGGCTGTAACCATGGTTAGCCACGTGGGGGTCCAGTGCCTGAGTCACTGTGCCACCTGTTTGCCGGAGGGGGTGTGTGCATAGCAGAGAGAGGAAGACAGCACTTTCCAACAGGGCGTGGTCACACCATCCTCTCTTCTCCCCTTTCTCCATCCTATCGGGATTTTTTTTAATTTTTTTTTTTTTTGGGGGGGGATTTTCTTTTTTTTGGAGAGGTTTTTGCTATAGGGTGCATGCGCTCGCCAGACAGACAGAGACAGACAGAGACAGACAGAGAGACAGAAAGCGAGAAATCACTCCCCAGAGGGGATGGCCATGCCGCAATCCCTTCTCCTCTATTCTCCTCTCGGGATCTTGGGCACGCACGTACACGCGCCCGGCGTGAGTTTTAAGCCACCAGGTCAGGGACGCGAACCGCAGTCGACTATGTGGGAGTCCAGCGACATAGCCATTATGCTAACTGCTGGTCCCCCTATCGGGATTTTAAGCGCATGTGCACCCAGTGTGTTTTTCAAGCCACCAGGGCCAGGATTCGAACTGTGCAGTGGCCTCCCCGTGAACGGATTTTGGCAGATCTGCAAAGCTCCGGTCACATTTATACCCTGTTACTGGTGCATGAATCCCCTTTGCAGGGTGGGTCTGTAGCTTTCTCTTAAGTCTGAGCAGATCTGAGAGTTGGGAAACCTTTATCTCTAAAGCAGGGGCTCTCATTCTTGTCTGGATCGGGGCCATTTTTTGGTTGTAGGAGGTGCCTTGTGACCTGTAGGATGTTAAACAGCATCCTGTAGCATCCCCTTCTTCCTCCGTAGTCATGACAACCAACATGTCCCCAAGCATTGCCAAATGTCCCCTTGGGGACAAAAGTGTTCGGTTTGAGAACCAGTCTTCTCCATGAACCGTAACACCGAGAGAGGACAAGTACGCGAGCCCCTGTTTCACTGTAGTTGCTTCTTTATGATCTTTTTATCATTTATTTTATATTCAGTTGATTTGAGTCATATCTGTTGCTAAGATAGATTTCAAGGGTGTATCTAGGAACCCTAAACATTGGGAGAGTGGTGTGTGTGTGTGTGTGCGTTTTTTCTTTTGAGTGAATTTGGAATTGCCCATTTGCTAAATTCTCTGAAGATTGTCTGGCTGAGATTGCCTTGGGAAGTTATTTCCTGGTGGCGTTCGGAGATGGTGAATTTCCTGGGCACAGCAGTGGCCCTGGACAGCCCCGTACCTGCTGTCTGTCTGCTTTTCTCCTCTCTTCGCTCTTGTCCCGCATTGCTGAGCCCTGGCATCCTTGGCTCCTCTTCCTTCCCTCCCCAGGGCAGCCTGGTAGCTGCAAATATTCTTGCCTACCTGACAAATACCCCAGTGGTAACCTGTGTAGTAAACCAGTGGTAACTGGTGGGTGGCCATTTGTGGGGGAAGGCTCCTACCTTCCGAGGGCTAGGAACTTCTCTAAAAGGCTCTCTTTTGAGTGTAGAACATTTCTTTGTGTGGCTCTGTGTGTTTGGGTAACTTCATCTCTAGACAGGACAAGAACTTGTAACCCTCCAGGCCACACGCCATTATTACTGGTATTGTGTGAGGTGTTAATACGTGCCCCAAGAGGAGAAGGGGTTGCTTTGTCGAAGAGGCTGGGCAGAACCTCAGGACCTTGCAGCATGCTGAGCTTCTTAGGGTGCTTCTCTGAGAGCGCACCTGGGTTCCCTAAGCACCTGGGCCTTGGCACGCCGCTTGCTGCAGGACCCAGTGACACCTGAAGGTCCTCAGGGACACACTCTGGTGTTATTACAGACCTTGTGCGATGTCATCTGAGTCCCGGGGTCTGGTGTCACCAAGGAGATCAGCCCCTGTTCTTTAGACCTTTGTGTGGCCTTACCGTGTTCTTAAATCACACCTCTTTGACCTGCATCCCTCTGCCTCACCCTGAGATCTCCCCAGGTTACAGTGAACACAGAAAACCTAAGTAACGCAGGTGTTTATTGACCATACTGACCACTTCTCTCTGTGTTTCCTTAATTCATTTTTTGCCTTTTCTCTCCTGGGCCCTGCAGTTGGTTTGATACCGTCTTAACTCTGGCTGGGCTTGTGTCTCCCTGTTCCCAGCGTTGGGAAGTCAGGGGCAGTATAGATTTGGTACCCATGACCTCATCCCCATTTCGTGTTTGTCCTGCCATTTTTCCCCCCATTTTCTATCTATACAATGATGATGTGTTGACTTTTAGAGTTGACATCGGTTGATTAAAATACAGACTTTGTCCCTAAACTCGCTTGCATATAGCACAACATTTACTTTACTTCAGAAGTCAATTGCTGATGGCCTCGATTGGGCATGCAGGGTATGAACTCCCGGGGTGTGACAGGAAGGGCCAAGGCAGCTCCACTGCTGTCTCCACCACAACCCACCATGGAGGGTCGGCTTGCCAGGGCTCACGCTAAAACCTCTGAGGGGGGCCATGATCTTCAACTCCCACACTAACCCTCCCTTCTCCCTGCCCCCTTTTTCTCTTCCCTTTCTCCTACAAGGCTCTGCTACACTTCACCACTGGCAGCAGTTGGCCCAGCCTCACCTGGGGGGCATCCTGGACCCCCGGCCTGGTGTGGTGACCAAGGGCTTCCGGACTCTGGACGTAGACCTGGATGAAGTGTACTGCCTTAACGACTTTGAAGAAGACGACACAGGTGACCACATTTCTCTCCCGGGCCTAGCTACCTCCACGCCAGTGCAGCACCCAGAGACCTCAGGTGAGAGGTCCCGAGGACACGTGACTGTCTCAGGCAGCAGAAGTTACCCGAGCCAGCCTCAGGCCTCCCCAGAGGAGATGCAGGAGCCGCCAGCGGCCACGGAGGAGGAGGAGGAGGAGGAGGAGGGGTCTGGTGAGGGCACCGCCATAAGTCCTACTATAAACTTGGCACCTTTACCGGAGGCAGAGCTCTGGGCCATTCTCACCTCTGTCCCGGGCACCATCCGTAGTGGCTCTCTGTCTGTAGCTTCTGCTCGTCTGTGTGGGTGATGACTAAAGCATTCCCATTGTGCGGTTCTGTTTTTCAATGGAGTCTGCGGCCTCCTTTTTGTATCAATGGATGTAGCTCCCTCTTCATCTGGGAGCTGCATGGCCCAGGAGGGCTCTTCAAATGGGGGCAGAAAAGGCTGCTAAAAAGAATTGGATTCTTGGCTTCTCCTGAGAACATCAGGGCCCTTTACCCTCTTCCGGGTATCTCCCGTTGTCCAAGGGTCACATTCTCAAGTCCCCCGGTGGTTTCTGTACTGAAGCGAGTTGGGCAGTTTTAAGGAAATTATGAATGCTGGAACTTTCAGAAGGTGAATGAGACAATCTGTTACCCGTATGCAACGTTTCAATGGAGTTGGGACAAACTCAGAAAATGTCCAGGATATCAGACCGTCCTTGACAGATCAGTCTACTTCCTTCCTTCATTTCGGTGAAGGTACATATGTTGCTTTCTGTCCAGTTTACAAAAGTCTTCAAGGTGGATTTTTTCCAAGTGTTTTAGCAATACACCAAACCCAAAAGAGAAAGTAACCTCTCCCAGGAGAAGATACTAGACGAGTCTATGAAGGGGCACCGGCTGACCCCCACCCCTATACATCCTCGAAGCATTCAAAGGGTGGCCATGAGCTTGTAGACTTATCCACACCCCAGTGGGATGAAAAGCTTTGTGCTCAGGATCCCTGGGTATCATGGGGTCTCGTGGGTGCTGTTCCCCATCAGTACACTTCGCCCTGTTCTCCTGGACCTCATTGTGCTGCGTAGACAAAGAGCTCTTGTGGGATAAGGGACAAGACCCAGAGACAGATGAATTAACCCAGTGTTGTCATCCTCATGACATTCCCGAGTCACCAGGTTTGAAGAATGGGCGTTCGTCTTTGTGATTCACAGTTTTCATTGTCAAGGCCAGAGCGAGCCAAGGTTCTCGCTGGTGTCCCCTCTCTGCCAGCTCACTTCAGACAGTCGTGGCCAAGGGACTTGACTGGGGACCAACTTGCCTTTTGATCTTTGACAAACCTTAGAGGAGTTATTGAGTAAAAAGGATTCTTTTTGCACGTAGGCTTATTTACCGTTGGATTTTTTTTTCTTTTAGATTAGTTGCCAGATTCATCTTATGAGGGAAGAAAAATGTCTATTATTTAGTATCTACACGCTCAAGCCAGCTACAGGGTCACATCCCCCTCTGTGGTCAACCCCAGTGCCCATCTGGAAGAAACACAGTGTTCGGCTGACTTTTTATTGTTATTTATATTTATTTATTTTTGTGGTTGCAGAGCTAGGTGTCTTGTTGAGTGTGATGGCCTCCCTGCAGCCTTGTAGGTAGGACCGAAGGCAAATTCTAGAAGTTCAAAGAAGCACCAGTAGGTGTATCTTTAAGTTGTACAGAAGGAATAAAGTTAATCAAGTCAACAAAGCACTTAGTCTTCGAGAACAGGAGAGAAGGGACCAATTAGGAGGACTAAAGGCCTGACCACTTTTCTTTCTTTCTTTCTTTTCTTTTCTTTTTTTTCATGCAAACGCATGCACCTGGCATATTTTACAAGATCCCAGGGCCAGGATTTGAACTGTAGTCAGCCACGTGGTATCCAGTCCCTTAACCATTTTTCTTACCATATTTCTTGGCTTTTCCCTTCATGACTCAGACCTGCAGCAAATTCATCCCAGCAACTTTATTTGAGGAGAGGCATGCGCATTTGTAGTTGAAACTGTAGAAGGGTCAGGGTAGGGGTGTGTTGTCAGGAAAGAATGATCTAAGTTGCTGAAGGTAAATTTGGGGAAGGTCTGATCCTGTAGACAAGAGTTCTTTTGAGCTTCTTTTCTGGGTAAGACTCATCTCTAAAACCTCAATGCAGAGAGTGTGAGCAGTGATTTGACTCTTTTCTCTATCGAGAATGACAAAAACCATTTTTATTTTTGGAGATTAAGAAGCATATCGCTCCATGGGACCAGCAGTTGGCATAATGGCTATGTCGCTGGACTCCCATGGTGTTGACCGCAGTTTGAGTCCTGGACTTGGTGACTTAAACTCATGCCGGGCGCGTGTGTGTGCGTGCCCGAGATCCCGAGAGGAGAATGGAGGAGAAGGGATTGCAGCATGGCCATCCCCCTTGGGAGTGAGTTCTCACTTTCTGTCTCTGTCTTTCTGGTGAGCATGTGTCCTATAGCAAAAACCTCTTTAAAATAAAAGAAGCATATCACTCTGTAAGTCAGTCATCCTGGAGGTCCTGAGGGGTTCTTTCTATAGTCACAGAACTGCAGGCATACAGATAACACGTCGGGGAAAGGCATGGGCATCCTGTCTTGGGATTTGTATCAGGCTAGTCTTGCCCCTGCCTTGGTCTGCCCTTACTGCTTGGCTTTTTTGGCAAATGGCACCATCTTGGGAGCTACCATTTGCCTGGGAAGACTCAGTAGGAGCAACTTCAAAGACAGAAGGTGATTGATTGTTTTTCTCTTACGTGGTGTGATGGGCGGGCGCTAGGAGACTGTACTGGGTGCCTTCATAGCCTGCTGTCTACTGGAGAAAAACTGCAGAGCACTGAGAACAAGTTACCGATATATTTCAATGTATTATTTGAAGCATCACTTGCTAGTTTTTATAATCTCATGTCTTTGAAAGGATGATACCATGTCATTGTATTGTAAATAATTTAGATGATTAAAATGGACTGCTTAAGACAATTCTTAGATTATAGTGTTAATTCATTTCAGTGCTATGTTTCATGGTTTCATTTCTACAAAAAGCATCTTATCAGAGTTGGTTCTTATCAGAGTTGGTTCTTACCTTGTCAGTATTCTGTTTCTTTGTATTTTGTTGTTAGAGGGCACACATGCTTGCCAGAGACAGAAGAGGGACAAGAGACAGAATCCCCAGTGGGATGTGGTTACACCGAAGTCCCTTCTCCATTTATCTGTTGAGATTTGGAGCGCACACACATGCCTGGTGCGATTTTCTTTCTTTACTGTATAGGTTTTTGCCTTAGAGTGAGTGCACTCACTGGGGAGAGAGAGACAGAGACAGTGAGAGGGAAAGTGAGAAAGTGAGAAAGTGAGATGGTCATGTCACAGTCCCTTCTCCTTCATTCTCCTCCTGGGATCTTGGCACGCACACATGCCCAGTGTGAGTTTCAGTCTGCTGGATTCAGTACTCCATCCATGGTCAGCCATGTAGGAGTCCAGTGACATAACCATTACTCCATCTGCTGGTCCTGCCTAGTCTGATTTTCAGGTTGCTGGGTCTGGGGCTCAAACTGCATTATCCACCATGTGAGATATGGCTCCCTTAACCACTACGCTACAGGGCCAGCCCTCCTGCCAGTATGCCGTACGTTGGGTGGGAAAGGATGAACAGTTAAAGTCACACGGCTAAGTTGGAAGTTGGCTGGCTGGAAGAATCAGCAGGTGAATTATCTTGGATACTTTGATCCTCGAAGGTCAGAAAGAGGTGAGATGAAAGCAATCCCAGTAGAAGGAGTTAAAGGTCAGTTCATTGTTTACCCATACGTGTGACCATTCCATGTGGGGGAATTGACCTAATTCAGGCTCAGACTTCTCCCATCACTGCCATGCTGTCTGGCAGTAGCTCCGTGATGGAGTTGTATCATCACTGGGACCAGATCCTAAAGTCAGCGTGGAAGGTAAAAATTATACCTGGTCACACCTGCCATTCAGCCATCCCCTAAATCTCTAGCACCCAGACACCAGAGGCAAAAGCCAAGCATTAGCTTCTTTTGTCACTTCCATGTGTGGTACAGAGCTCCAGGTACTGTCCTGCAGTGAGTTCTGAGCAAGGAGGGAGAAGACCCACTCAGGGTAAAAGGGAGCTATGGAATGTTCTGGAACTGCCCATTCTTGTAGCTGTGTTTAGGGCAGGGCCAGTTGGAGCACATCCATACGCGCCTGTGGTCTTGCTTTTTGTCTCATAGCAGGCCACAGAAGCAGGTCCAGATAGGCCTGTGAAGGGAAAGTGGCTGAGGGTCCTATGGGTCTAGTCCATGGGGTCTAGACTGTGGGGGGCGGGGAAACCCCTTCCTGTTGTCTCCACTGAGGGAGCCGATGGCAAGTCCCTACTCTGTTGGGACCCCTTTTCCACTCAGCCCTAGTTTTGTAGCAGCTCGGGGAGTTTGGTGGTTATAGAAAGAGCGGGAGGTCTGCTCACGCCCACCTGTGTTAGGAGCTTAAGGAAGCCCTTGTGCACTTACATAAGAATTTGTGTTAAGTCAGAGTGAACCAGGCCAGCTGCAGCCCGGAAGTGGGAAAATGAATGAAGGATGAAAGGATTGGCTCCTCTGAACAAGTATCATAGAGTCTACCCTACGTAAAATTTCTAGAACAAAGCCTACTTGTCCAGAGAGGTTTCTGCAGCATCCTCACCTCTGAAAACTGTGAGAGGGCCCTCCCACACTCCAGTGACCCCATGGGGATTGCTGAGGAGTGGGTCTCTGTACTGGACACTCCCAATCAACCACACTGCCCAGGGAGGTGTGGGGACGTGCTTGCTTGGATTGGCTTCAAAAGCAGTAGCAGTAAAGGCCACTATGCAGCTCAGCCACCAGCTCCCTGTGTCCCTGGGTGTCTGTCACAGAAGGAAGGATGAGAGGAGGTAGGGGCCAGCTTTGTTGGTGTCAGACGGAATCAATGAGATTTTTATTTTTTATTTTTATTTCTTGCCTCTGCCCTTTTGACATTATAACAGCATCCTAAAATTCCTTTGTTCTCTGGAAGATAATGCCAGGG